GCAGTGGCTGAACTGATTCACATTCCCACCAATGGTGTGTAAGTGTTCCCTTCTCTGTGGCTTCACCAACATCTGCTTTTTTTTTTCTTTTTAACTTTTTAATAACTGCTATTCTGATTGGTGTGAGACAGTATCACATTGTGCTTTTGATTTGCATTTCTCTGATGATCAGTGATGTGGAACATTTTTCCATAAGTTTTTTTGACTGTTTTGTCTTCTTTTGAGAAGCGTCTGTTCATGTCTTTCACCCGTTTTTTAATGGGGTTATTTGTTTTTTGCTTATTCAATTGTTTCAGCTCCTTATAGATTCTGGATATTAGACCTCTGTTGGATATAAAGTTGGCAAATATTTTTTCCCATTCTGTGCTTTGCCTAGCTAACTCTTACTCAACCTTGAAGTCTCAGCTTAAATCATGACTTCCTCATCACAGAGGCCTTCCTGATTTTCCAGACCAGGCACCACGTGGTATATAACATAACACTTTATCTCTCAGACCCAGGTAAGAAAGCCCCCTGCCCTGAACTTAATGCTTTAGAAGGCATCATATAGTATAACCACAAAGGAAATAAATCCATTAAAAACACAGAACTGTTTCTGTCCCTTGGGATTCTGTGCTCAGTGTTGGCATAGAACAACCAGTAACACTGAACACACACCCCTGAGTCTAATACAGCTCAGGACCCAGGGGATCACTTATTTATATATCTTGATCTGTCTTATTTATTTAAGTTGATAAACACTGTATGTATTTATTATGTACATGATGTTTTGAAATATGTATACACTAACAATATGGAGAGCTTCATTTTTGTTAACCTTGTGCAATTGCGTTGTTTTAATTGGAAAATTTTATTGTTCCAATTTTAGTATATGTGCTACAAGTAAACACACTTTATGTCTTTAGAAAAATAGATAACTGTGTCTGGATGCCCTGAAGATTTGTGAGTTGCATCACTGTGAACTTTGGAGGCTGCCATGGTTTTGGAGTACAGGCAGGAATTGAGCCATCAAAGTGCTTAGCTAAGAGAAAAGAAAATTAACTTGTCAAATCCTTTCTCTTAGATAGCATGGTTGCAGTTGATTCTCTTTTTTTTGAGACAGAGTCTTGCTCTATTGCCCAGGCTGGGGTGCAGTGGCACGATCTTGGCACACTGCAATCTCTCCCTCCCAGGTTCAAGTGATTCTCCTGCCTCAGCCTCCCGAGTAGCTGGGATTACAGGTGCCTGCCACCACACCCAGTTAATTTTTGTATTCTTGGTAGAGACAGGGTTTCGCCATCTTGGCCAGGCTGGTCTTGAACTCCCGACCTCAGGTGATCCACCTGCCTCAGCCTCCCAAAGTGCTGGGATTATAGGCTTAACCCACTGCGCCTGGCTGGGTAGTAGATTCTTGCATGACATATTATCTACCAGTAGTGCTAAGTGTCCGTTTTCTTGCTCTGTTTCGAGTTCCAATTTCTGGTCCTGGAGGAACCCATGAATTAGTGTAGTGTTTGCAACATTACAGGTGGTTGCTAAGGAGCATTTTGTAGTATTAAATAATTTATATTATTCTTACATTTTTATATTTGTACCTCCAGATACAACATGTAAAACATGATATTGATTCTTTTTATTGACATTAGATGGACACTGAATACTAGAATTGTAAGTAGGCTTGTTTTTATAAAAATATTTAATTAGGCCAGGTGTAACGGCTAACACTTGCAATCCCAGCACTTTGGGAGGCCCAAACTGGGAGGATCACTTGAGCCCAGGAGTTTTGAGACCAGCCTCAGCAACATAGGGAGACCCTGTCTCTATGAAAAAATAGAAAAAAATTAGCCAGGCGTGGTGGCATGCACCTGTGGTCCTAGCTATTCAGGAGACTGAGGTGGGAGGATCTCTTAAGCCTGCGAAGTTGAGGCTGTAGTGAGCCATGATCTCGTCACTGCACTCCATCCTGGGTGACAGAATAAGACCTCATCTCAAGAAAAAAACAAAACAAAACAAAAAACAATGCTCTTTGATTAGATTTCAATTTTCAAAAAAACATTTAATGAAAATGTTCAGCTCTCAAGTAGGAACTTTGTCTCCTATTATCTCCCTTAAATAAAACAAATACTGGGTTTAGGATGGCCATGTTTTTAGCAACCCAGATTCACAATCAAGGGATTCCAGCCAAACTTTACTCCTCTCTTTTCCCATTCTCTTTGCTTATGAATATTTTGTCTTCCTTCTTGCCTTAGGTAGTGAGGTATAAAAAGCTTGAGCTAAGTCCTTGATAGAGGGGTAGGATGTACCTGTGATTATCTGTTGGAGTTCTTTCACTGGGGGATTTGGGAAGTGGTAGATGAATGGGGATGGGGTGGAGGAAAGTCACCGATTTGTTGCCTCATCCCATCCAGAGTCTTTTTATTTGTTTTTTGAGATGATGGTCTCACTCTGTTGCCCGGGCTAGTCTCAAATTCCTGGCCTCAAGCGATCCTCCTGCCTCCACCTTCCAAAGTGCTGGGATTACAGGCAAGAGCTACTGCACCAAGCCCCAACCAGTCTGGAGGCTCCTGTTGCTCCAGCCAGGCCAGGCACTTTGAGCTGCTCTCTCCAGAAGCCCTCAGGGGCCACTGGGCTGTAACGTCTGTGTTTGTGGAGCCAGGATTTGTAGCAGCTCCCTCTCATGGGCTTCCTACCCACTCTGGGGCTTCTTTTCTGCAGCTGGAAGAGGGTCGTGAGAATAGATGAGGACAGGGTCTGCGGTTCATTCTTCGTCCAGTTGCTCCATGATCATGATAGACCTGGTTGTTCCCAAACTCAGAGAAAAGGGAAAAGAGCTGAACCCAGAAGCTGCGGGTGGGGCTGGTAAGAAACGCTGGCAGACAGCAGGAGAGGTGTGAATAGGGGGAGGTCAGCCGGAGGAACACAGAGAGCTAGAGCTAAAAACCAAGTCAACAGTAGAATATAGCCTTTGTCGTTGACATCTCTCTGGATCAGAATGAGTGAGCCACACACCACAGGTTCTTGGGGCAGGCAGTGCAGTACAATTGAAGAAGCACTCAACTTGGGGATTTTTGACCTGCATTTCAGTGCTGGGGCTGCCCCTTAAGAACTCTGCCAAGTGACTTCTCTGAGTCTCAGTTTCCTCTTTAGTACTTTTAGCACAGGCTTTGGATTCAGATAGACTCTGCTCCTGGCACCTGCACAACCTTGGACAAATTACTTAACCTAAGAGTCTCAGTTGCCTCATCTGTAAAATGAACAACACCTTAGAGTTGTTGCTAGGAGTAAATAAGGTAATTGATGGGAAGTAGATTCTATTGGTAATGGAGGATGGCAGAGTAACAGTGAGTTTGGAGCCAGGTGACTTGGGTTTGAGCTGACTGCCCGCAGCTGAATGTATAACCTCTCTGAGAACCAATTCCTTCTGTGTAAGAAGGGGTCACACGATGCCTTCTTCACAGGGTCCTTGTGGGGCTCTGGTGAGATAAGATGTAGGAAAGCATTCTGTAAAGCTCTGTACAAATGTGAAGGATTATTTTTGTTCTTCAGCTCACCCTCTAACAAAGGCTGAGTAAGTACTGAATTGGCCCAAAAAGGGAGGGCAAAGGAAGGAATGTGAATCTTAGCGGGAGTAGCAAAAAAGCTGGAATAATCCCCACACTGTGTTTCCAACACCTTTCATGAAGCCAGCGCTCTGGGGACTAGCACACCTCCAGGGAGGGAGGTGAGAGACTGAGGGTTGAGGACGAAGTGGGCTATGAGGAGAGGAAGAAGGGGCCCACTGCTGTCAAAGCCCGGGAGGACATGGAAGGTCCTTGTCTCGTGAGGAAAAGAAGATGGTGTCTCTCAAGTCCCAGCTCCCCTTCTGTTTCCTCCGCGAGCCAGACTCTCTTGTGATCCACAAAGCACAGCTCCCAGCTTTGAGCCAAGAAATGCTGCCTTTCAATGCCCCCCACCTGGCAGCTACTGAGCAGATTCAAATATGCTCAGGGTTGGAGCCTAGAGAAAAAAGATAGGACTTCTGCTGTCCCCAGCGGAGGCTAGTTTGTGCCTCCTCATACCCCACCAGGCAGGGCAGAGCCCTTCAAGCCAGCCTCCTCCTCCTCTTCCACCCTAATGCCCTCCACTTTCTCTTGATCTGTCTGAATCAGGACATGATGCCAGGGCTGGTCCTGAGCCCCACTGAGAGGCCTTCCCTTGGGAGCTCAGCCCATGGGATGTGCCAGGGAAATGTTTCCACAGATTAGTGCCTCCTGGGGTGAGACAGTAGCAGCAGGTGGCAGGAACAGGGCAGGGTAGGAACAAAGCCCAGGGAGCCCTTGGGAGGAGCCCAAGGACAGAGGCTTTCTTTTCCAGTCTCTGGCCTCTAGAACCAGGAGGTTGGGTTTCCTCCAAAGCCCCTGCCTCAGTTCCACCCCTCAGTGATCAGCTGGTGAGGCATAGATCACTTTATTTGACTAATTGTGGTGACAATCATGGTAGTATCACAGTTTAAGCAAGCCCAGCTCCAGAAGTAGAATAAATTGGAGAGTAGGGGGAGAGACGCAGAGGAGAGAGGAGAGATGAAGAGACAGCTCATGAGTCCAGGAAGAGAGGATACAAGGGGAAAGAAAGTTCTAGCAAGAAATATATAAGCCCTGGGGAAAGCATCCCAGCAAGAGTGCCCTAAACTAAAGACTCCTATCAGGCAACACCTGGTTAGAATTTTTCAAATCTACATTTGTTAAGTCAAGCCCGGAGGGCGAAGCAGTGAAACCACCAGCGTAAGACAGGTAATAGACAAGAGGGCAGCAAATGCCAGTGGATCAAGGGATGCAGATGTCAGGAGAAAGGGGGAAGCCAGGTTTCTGCTGACTTTACCTTACCCCCGGCCTTGTTCTTGGGTGAGTTTAAGAGTGAGCAAGATAGATGAGCAATGTTTTACAATGTGATCTTGATCAAAAGTTTCATCAACACTGGGTTTACCCCCTTGGGTTAGTACCGGCCCAGGGTCGAGCATGCCTATCCCAGTGGGCCCCTTGACCTCACAGTTTGTGCTGGTGAGAAACTGGCTCCTTGTCTGTGTCAGCATTCTGGATCAACTCAGAAAAGAATTTCACTTGGTTCTCACAGGCTTGGACTGAGATTTTCTCGTTGATTCCATGGATGCTGAGGAAAGTTAGGTACATTTGGGGAAGGAAGGGCCAAGTGCCACAGCACCAGTGTTACTGCACTTTCCTTACTTCCCTCGCCAACCTGGAAACGACTGGCCCTCCAGGGATAGGAAACAGGCAAGGGAGGGGCCGTCTGGGGTTTCATATGACATGCTGGTCATTTCTCAGGGATCCATCCATGGTCGTGACAAAAAAGTGTGGAATAAACTCCTGGGGAGTCCAAAATCATCTCCTGCTCTGAAATCCATTCAATCATTTGTCCTCCAGGAGAATTATCTTTTTTTCTTGAGACATGTTCTCACTCTGTAGCCCAGGCTAGAATACAGTGGTGCAATCACAGCTCACTGCAGCCTTGCAGTGGGAGCTGACAGACTTGTGCTCTTCTCTTAAGATATTTATGGGAAGATGATTTGAGCTAGCACAGAAGCGAGAAAAGACTGACAGGGTGTACAGTCACCATGACTGGGCACACCAGAGGGGTTCTTCTCCCTCGGTTATTTCCAGGATCTCAGGCCTGAGGCCTACTTTGCACAGGAACTGGATGCAAGGCACTACAACTCCTTTATCAGGAAGAGAGGCTCTTGCTCCAAGCCTACCATACAGCATATGCTATTTCAGGCAGGGATGCCACCGCCTGCATCTTTGGTTCTTGTCCTGGTCTGGCTGTTTTCCCATGTACTGCTTCTGTTCTGTGACTGCTCTAGGCATTCCTTCTACTACTAACTACTATATGATTATATAGAAGGATTATATAAACCAGCACTAAATGTGTTGGTACAGCTCTGACTACAATACCTATATGATTATATAGAAAGGTTATATGGAACTAAGTAGGATTTTTATATATATATATATATATATATATATATATACACACACACACACATATATACATATATACATATATATATGTGTGTATACATATATTAGATATAAGTAAGCAGTGAGTTATACTTTGGGCACTAATTGTGCCTGGGGTCTGCACAGCTCTCCTTCCTCAGTGCTCATGGAGGGTGTTACCCACACAGCCTCAACCTTCTGGTTTAAGTGCTTCTCCCCACTCAGCTCCTGAGTAGCTGGGACCACAGGTGTCTGGCTAATTTTTTTTTTCTAAATTTTTTTCTTTTCTAAATTTTTTTCTTAAAGAGATGGAGTCTCATTATGTTGCCCAGGCTGGTCTCAAACTTTTAAGCTCAAGCGATCCTCTTGCCTCGGCCTTCCAAAGTATTGGGATTATATGTGTGAGTCATCAGACTCGGACAAGAACTATCTTTCCAAATCTCTTTCTCTTAGGACAGCGTGCCTAGCTAGACTTATCTCTAAGCCAGTTCCCTACTCTCCCACTTTCTAGGGTTAAGAGAAGTTAGGGAAGGCAACTGTCCAGGGTACCTACCCATTTTCCTGTGGCACCTAGGGAACTTTACTATCAGACCTCACATCCACCAACCTGCCTCCCCACAGTGAAACAGAGCCAAACAAAACAAACAAGGACCAAACTATACATGTAATCTCAAAGATAAAAGGAAACACAGGGTACCTACTTACCTCCCATTTAAAAACAAAATCATGAAAGCTGTTCTTAAGCTCCTATTCAAATAGTTTTGCTGTGTCTACAGACAGAGCACTTAGGATGGGGAAATCAGGTCTGGATGTGGTAAGCAGCAGAGAGGCAAATGGAAATCATCCTCCCATGCCCCAGGATTAAAAATTTGCCGAAGAACCCACAGAAATAGTAATTCACACAGAGCAGTTAAAATTGGTGGTCACATCTTGGATTTCCATAGTGCTTTCTTCTGAGAAGTCAAAGCACGCACCCACCTTTGACCTCATGTAAGTGAAGAAAATGGGGTCCAGAGCATAAGCCCTCTCCCAAAGAGAGGAAGAGTTGGGATTAGCACCCAAGGGTACTGATTCCACCAGGTTCCCCCCAATCACCCAATTATCTCCTTCTTTGTAAAAGAGGGGCCAACTTCCATAAATTCTAGGGGGTGGCAAGACTCTGGCAATGAGGATGGTAGATGGGTTAGGTTCTACAATGTCTCCATTTCGCTTTGCCAAATCCCAGCTTTCCCCTGATCCTGTGAACTGTCGGGAGCATGGGGTGGGAAAGGGACATGTCAAGTGTATTTCTCTTTTCCCACCTGCTGCTCAAACTTGTTCCACTCACCTTCTGAAGCCTTCAGGCTGTAGCTGGATGGCGCTGAACCTGTAGATGCCAGTGGTGAGGTTTGTAAAGTGTCGGCTGTCTGTGTTGCCGATACAGGTACCTAGAGAGGGAAGATCAACAGGAAAGGGGCTTTACATGAGCAACCAAACCAAGCAAGTGGCAGCTTGGTGGCCTGGCTGGAAAATTAGGACTACACCTGTGCTGGGTCTTTACAGAGCAAGGCTTGGGCTCTCTTGAAAGCCTATAGCTATCCTTACGAGAAGCACCATTTATTTCAGCCAGGAACATGGATTCTCCAAGGGCATTGGTGAGCCATCCCTTGGATGGACGATTCAAAGGATGGCTTACCAATGCCCTTGGAAGTGTCCTCTCCCCGTGGCGAGCAGGGAGGTCAATATGTTCGTTCCATACCCAAGGCCATGACCATTTGCTATTTAAGAAACCAGAATCTAGATAGCACTTCTTTATCACTTGATCTTTATTCTGTATCACTCTAAATAAATACCCTCGGTCAGAAATAAATACCCTTGGGAGAACTTTACTATTATAAAATGCAATCCTCTTGAATTGGAAAAAAGAAATTCCTGTTATCCTCATTCTCTGGAGAGTGACTCTGTCTTCCTAGAGTCAAACCTCAGGTCTGGAAAGTGCCAGGATACTCTCTTTCCAGTCTCCCACTCTCCTGAGGTGGTAGCAGGTCACCTAGCAGGGGCTGGGACTTGTGCCCATAACTGTGTTCTTTGGGAAAAGACACGTGGAGCATCAGTTCAAGTGTGTGGGGTTATTTGAGATGGTGATTTGTGTTTTGTTCCATTTTCCACTCCTGGTTTCAAATGGACATCCAGGCCCTTCACAGTTCCTTGCTTTGTGGTTGATTTCTGCCTATCTTTTTTCTGTGAAAGCCTGGCCCCTTGGTGGAGTACAGTAAGTGCTCCAGAAGAGAGAGAGTAGAGTAGGTAGCCTTTGAGGGCCAAGAGAGGAGAATCTGGGACTGTGAGAGCTGGGTTCCTGGATGTTTGGAGCAATCTCTGATTAAACCAGGAGAAAAGAAAACTAGACACAGGCCTTAATATTAGAGCATTAATTATTGAGCAATATCATTATTATTGAGCAATATCTTAATATTAGAGCAACAATCATTTACCAGAGATTCTCAAACTGTGGTCAGTCATCACCTTGTGTTAGAATCACCTGAGAGTATTTGTGAAAAAGGCAAATTCCAGGGTCCCTTGCAGATTTGGTTAACCCAAATCTTTGCTGTGGGTTCAGGTAATCTGTATTTTAATAGTTCCCCGGAGGCTTCTTAGATTGGAGAACCACCCTGTGCAAAGCATAGATTTGGATGGTGTGCCAGAAGGCTGCAGAAGGGGGCCAGAGGGGTGGTGCTGGGATTGGTCTGGTCTGTGAGGCATAAATTAGGTTAAGGCAAAGGGTATGGGCTGGGAGGTTTTTCTGGGCTGAGGATTCTGAGCTCTGCTGCTGAGTTGTTATCTTAGAATGGATCAGAACCAGACACGGGGAAGATCTGGGCCCCTTCTGTGGCCCCTGGAGAGGAGGCAGTAGTCTAAGCCAATCCTTGCCTCTACGCCAGAGTGGCTGGCCTAGGTTAAGCAAGGACCCAGGCTTGACTGACCTAATTTATTGTTTCCGCTCCTTTCCTGTTTGCGTTCTCACTTCCACTCTGAGGGGGAAATACAGTTCCAGTCCCCTCAGGAGGGGAAGCAGCCAGCTGTTTCCAGGCTGAACATCTGGGGTGGGGGTGGGGAAGTAGACACTGGATAGGAAACAGTTCCAGCCCCCTCCTCCCTCTAGTCACAGCTGATGAAGTCATTACCTGGGGTGACAGTATTGACTTCCTGGAAGACAGACTGTGTGGTCTGGCGGAGCAGCTGGTAGCCCAAGGCCTTGTCATCATAAGGGCTGATGGGGTGGGGGTCAAAGGCACTCAACACATGAAACTGGACTCTGTCATCAGCCACAATCTTCTTGGTGAGTTCTAGGACCTCCAAGGTAGAAACAAAGGGGGTTCAATTTCTCATGGATTTGCTATGCAAGTACAATATTAATTTAAATATCCTGATTTCTCTCCAGAAAGGCAGAGCCCGGGGGTTTACAGAGAGGACTCATTCTTTTAAGCACTGGGACTTCAATTTCAGCTGACTGGCTATAGGTGATGTAAGAGCTGGGTCTTCCTGGAAAGCAATCTATAGCTTGATAGATTTAGGTTAAATGCATTGGGAGACTTGTCTTACAGTCATGAATCAGGTGGGGAATTGGAAAATCAGGAAGTTATGCATCTTTCCCCTTGGATGGTGAGCCACAGGCTGGATGAGTGTTGAGGAGACAGCCGAATGTCAATCATCTCGAGGCTGGGGGATAGATGTGATGACCTGATTTCAGCCTCAGGGAGTCTCAGACAGGTGATAAAAGGGTCACACACTTTTCTCTCCCCTCTCTGGGCATTCCGGCTTCCTGTTTGTAACCAACTGTACTGGAGCCAGGAAGATGAGCTCAACACAGACAAAAAGTCAGAAGTTGTGATACTGGTATTCAAGTTTTCTCTCTTTGACTCCTTTCCTCAGGAAGGCACCTGAGGAAACTTCTAGAAAATTCAGTCTGAAATGGCTAGAGTGAATCCAGAAAAATTCCTGGCCCCAGTCGGGAAGTAGACCAGACCCTGAGGATTAGGTCACATACAGCCATGTAGGAATGGACCAGGACACTGGCTTAGAGGGACCTCCCCTTCTCCAAAGCCCCAGCACTAGTCCCAAACCATTTGTTCACTAGTTGCTTTAAAACTGCCTCTGCTCTGGCCGGGTGCGGTGGCTCAAGCCTGTAATCCCAGCACTTTGGGAGGCCGAGGCGGGTGGATCACGAGGTCCAGAGATCGAGACCATCCTGGTCAACATGGTGAAACCCCGTCTCTACTAAAAATACTAAAAATTAGCTGGGCATGGTGGCGTGTGCCTGTAATCCCAGGTACTCAGGAGGCTGAGGCAGGAGAGTTGCCTGAACCCAGGAGGCGGAGGTTGCAGTGAGCCGAGATCGCGCCATTGCACTCCAGCCTGGGCAACAAGAGCAAAACTCCATCTCAAAATAAAATAAAATAAAATAAATAAATAAACTGCCTCTGCTCTAGGAAAAGCGTTGTCCCATAGCTGCAGATCACCTGAATGAGGGACATTACCTTAAGAGTAACTTTTTTTTTTTTGAGACAGGATCTTACTCTGTTGCCCAGGCTAGAGTGCAATGGCGTGATCTCAGCTCACTGCAACCTCTGCCTCCCAGGTTCAAGTGATTCTCCTGCCTCAGCCTCCCGAGTAGCTGGGATTACAGGCATGTGCCACCATGCCTGACTAATTTTTGTATTTTTAGTAGAGACGGGGTTTCACCATGTTGGTCAGTCTGGTCTCAAACTCCTGACCTCAAGTGATCTGCCTGCCTTGGCCTTCCAAAGTGTTGGGATTACAGGCATAAGCCATCATGCCTGGCCAAGAGTACCTTTTTTTTTTTTTTTTTTTTTTTTTTTTTTTTTTTTTTTTGAGACAGAGTCTCGCTCTGTGGCCCAGGCTGGAGTGCAGTGGCGCCATCTCGGCTCATTGAAATCTCTGCCTCCTGGGTTTAAGCAATTCTCCTGCCTCAGCCTCCCAAGTAGCCGGGACTATAAGCATGTGCCACCATGTGTGGCTAATTTTTCTATTTTTAGTAGAGACAGGGTTTTGTCATGTTGGTCAGGCTGGTCTTGAAACTCCTGACCTCAGATGATCTGCCAGCCTCAGTCTCCCAAAATGCTAGGATTGATTACAGGCATAAGTCACCATGCCCGGCCCCAAGGGTACCTCTTATATGCCAGAAGAATGTTAGGAGCTGAGTCTGGAGAGGAAGTGGAGTTTCCCACTTCTGGGTTAGAAACCATCATTCGAATCAAAACAAATACCCTGCTGTTGAATGGGTGAAGGGGTTCATCAAAGTGTATTCTCACTTCTCAGAACATGTTTTCACTCTAGCCCTTATAATACAAATATTCTAATACAAGAATTAATGCACAGTCTTGACATATTCTCAGCCCATTGGCAAGTTTCTGAAGTCAGCCTCCATGAGGTTGGTTGGGGCTGTGCCCACTACCCCAAATTCCTTAAAGGTCCTGTCTCCAGAAATTGAAGAAGGCATGCAGATTGGAGCCCTGCAGTAAGAGGCTGCAAGAGCTCCGGTTTCCCACTAGCTGCCAGGCCAGGCCCTGACTCAAGGGCACGGACTGTGTCTATCTCATTTCCGCATTTCCAGTAGCAAGCACATAAAAGGTATGCAATAAATCTTGGATACATAAAATTTAAAAGATGTGAACCAATAAAAATAAGAATAGGCGTTGCTTTGTTTAACAACCACCGTGGGTTATATAGTTAGTATTGACAGGTTGGGTATCTGTCTGACTTTACGGGAACAATGCTTTACTGCTTCCTAAGTATATACACTTTGAGGTGGTGTGGACTAGAATGTGAGAGGAGGTGTTCATCTGAGATGGACTCCTTAGTGGTACGAATGTTTAGCTTTGAGTTTCAAGGAAGGATATGAAACTGATAAAGAAGAGGCAACAGATCATCTGAGCAAGGAGGGGGCAGGCACAAAAATTGAGATGTGACAACCAACTTTGTGCCTCGGGCAGTCACTCACCATTGTGTGACTTTGGACAAGCTCCTTAACTTCTCTGTGCCTCAGGCTGTCCATCTGTTAACATGTAGATGATGGTAGCACCTACCTCATAAGCGGTGGTGACGTTTACTAGAGCTAATATGTGTGATGTGCTTAGGGCAGTGCCTGGCACATGGTAAGCACTCAAAAAATGTTAGCTGTTATTTGCTTGTTTAGAATAGAATTCTTGGGCAAGAATCAGAGGTACAAGAATGGGATTAGGGAGAGGAACTTGTCAATGGTGAGAGACCTCAAAGGTGACTTTAGAGCACATGAATCTCTCATTTCTCTGATCTCCTATAGTTCTTACAGTGCATTCCCACAACACTATGTTCTGTTTTATGTGTAGAGATATTTTCCTGTAAATGGATGGTACAGCTGCTAAAGGCAAGGACAGTAGATACTTAAAAACAGGTAAGGTCTTTAGAGTTAGCAAGTCCAGCTTCTGGCCTGCTGTAAGGCTGCTTACTAGAAAACTCACAACAGGTTGTCTTCCCACCTGCTGGAATATTTCCAGTGGCAGAAAGCTCGTCACTGCATGCCATATGCCATTCAATTTTTGAGCAATTCGGTTATAAATGCCTTCCTTATAATGGACTCAGATATGGTGTCACGTAATATCTAACCCTCTTCTTCTTTTTTGAGACAGGGACTTGCTCTGTCACCGAGGCTGGAATGCAGTGGTGTGATCACAGCTCATTGTAACTTCCAACTCCTGGAATCAAGAGATCCTCCTGGCTCAGCTTCCTGTGAGTAGCTGGGAGCATAGGAGTGTGCCTGGTGAATTTTTATTTTTATTTGTAGAGATAGGGTCTTGCTGTGTTGTCCAGGCTGGTCTTGAACTCCTGGCCTCAAGCAATCCTCTGGCCTCAGGCTCCCGAAGCACTGGGATTATAGAATAAACTCCACAGGAAGTAATACAGTACTAGATGCATCACAAACACGCAGCATGTTCTTACCTGTCAAAATTAGAGGACATCTGTACTGCTCCCTACTTTGTGCTCTTACTGCCTGGATGCAATTGCCAGGTCTTTGCTCCTCCTCAGAGAGGGCTTCACGGACCACTGCATTTAAAGGAGCTCACTGCTCTACCCCTACCCCACGATTACTCTGTGACACAGCATCCTATTATTTTCTTTGTGGTATTTACCACTTAAAAAAATCACCTTGCTTACTGCTGTCTCGTCACTAGACTGTAAGCACCATTAGAATGGGAATCCTGTCTGTCTTATTCACCATTCTCACAAATGCTTAGGAGAATGTCTAGTCCACAGTAGCTAGCAGCAGACACTTGAATGAATCAATGAAGGAAGAAAAGAAAGAACCTGTTCAACATTCTTACTGAGCCCTTTTAGTGATGAGGAGCACAATTTCTGTCCAAGAGAGCATATTCCAAAACTTTCCCTCAAGTGGAGACTCCATCAAACATCTCCCACTGGCCTTCTTCCTACTCCTTCAGGCCCATTCAGGACACACCTTCCTTTAGCATGGTAGCCTCTTCCATTTCTGAAGGTTCTTGTTCCTCACAGGTAAGTGCTGGAGACCTGTCTGCATCTCAAGTTGAATATGGAGGAGGAGAACTCTGGGGGCGGCCTGTGTTCCTGTGGGATCCAGCCCGAGGCTCTGTGCTCGTGCAGCAGGGAGTGTTCCGGATGCATGGAACTGGGGCCCAAGGGAGAGGAGTAACCAGGACGAATGAGTCCTACAAACTTTTTGAACATGGAGGCTTTCCACTCCTCACAGCAGTACATGGGCAGGATGGGCCCAGGGGTTCCAGGGGTTTCATCAGAGAGACCGGAAGGCAGGCCACTGTGGCAGGGGAATAGAGAGGAGGGAAGAGTGCCAGGACCTGGGGAGATGAAAGCCCCAGCTGGGTGGAAAACAGCCCTTGGAAAGGGCATGGAGTCAGAAGGAGGCTGGAAAAAAACTGGTGGAAAGAAGCTCAATGAGGGGAATTCAGTGATTTCCTGACCTCATGAGCCCCCAGGGAGAGCACAAAGGTTGGCACCTGATGAAAAGCAGGAGAACCCAGGGCTCACATTGGTCCTAACTCGCCCCCCCGCCTAGGCCCCCTCAGTGCTGGCTGGCTCTGGGCAGGATGTCAACCTGCTCCCCGCTCTACAATGAGGAGTGTGTGCCTCTCACCTTGCATGAGGACAAATAAAGTCCTCCCTGGGGAAGAACTTAGGAGAAAGGACCACAGAAGTCCAAGGGCTACTGACCCTCGATGAGCTGTGTTACAGAACTGTCCCTAACCGTATTCTGGAAGGTCTTACTCATCTGACAGTCACTGGGTTGCCTTTTGGATCTTTTTTTTTTTTTTTTAAGCATCGGGTTTACCTTTTTAATTCCGTTTAGCCCAGCCTGATGTTTAAATAAGCTGACATTTACTGTGGATGTCAGACATTCTGCGTAACTTCTACTCACCCTTTGGCTTCACCTCTAATTTCTGTAATCATAAACTAGGGTTTTAGCTAAAAGCAGAAACTCTGGAACTAGACTGCTAGATGGATAATCTTGTTATATGATCTAACAAGCACCAGGTTGCTCTTCATCACAGTACTCATTGTGGTTTGCAATGATACATTCATTTTAAAACTGATATTCATAGCAGACCATTGCAAGGCTCTGGCCTCCACTCTTTTCCCTCCTAACTCTCTGCACATCCTTCTCATGGGCTTTTATTGACTCTAGAGGCTCCCAATATGTTAATGACGCTCCAGCTGTATCTCTAGTTCATCTCTCTCCAGACCTGAGGTATTTATAATTGCCTATTTCATATAAGCTTCTCACACCTCTAAACTATTATATTTCTTCTTGAACTTGTTCTTATTTTTGAATTCCCATCTTAGACAAAGGCATTAACTACTTGGTCAACTACCCAGGTTAAAAACCTTGGAGCCACCCTGCTTTTCTCTCACTCCACACCCGCAGACACACCACATCCTATTGAACCTACCTCTCTCCCAGCTCTGGTGGGAGAAGCCCTCTTCTCCACCCCATGACGATGGCCTCTGTTCAGACCTTCATATGCACTCCCTAAGAGGTTGCAATAGCTTCCTGTCTCCTCCTCCAGCACTCCCTCTGCATTGCTGCCAGCAGGACCACTCTAAAAGCAAATCTCAGTATTTGTTTGAAAACCTCTGAAAGTTCTCGCCTGTCACAGATTTCACAGATTAGGGTCCAAACTCCTCAGCATGGCATACAAGGCCTAAATCCCTAAACTACAACTCCATTTCCCATCAATTTTCATCTCCTATTACCTTTCCCCAATGTATCCTACTCCTTAGTCCCAATGAATGTCTTACTTCTAGCCAAGTTCTGTTGGTCCTCTAAGGTCCAGTTCAAAACTGTAGCAGTCAGAAAAGACTTTTTTTTTTTTTTTTTGAGATGATGTCACACTCTGTTGCCCAGGCTGAAGTTCAACAGTGCGATCTTGGCTCACTGCAACCTCCACCTCCCGGATTCAAGCGATTCTCCTGTCTCAGCCTCTCAAATAGCTGGGGTTACAGGCACACACCACCATGCCTGGCTAATTTTTTGTATTTTTAGTAGAGACGGGATTTCACCGTGTTCACCAGTGTGGTCTCGAACTCCTGAGCTCAGGCAACCCACCCGCCTCAGCCTCCCAAATGCTAGGACTACAGGCATGAGCCACCATGCCCAGCCACAGAAAAGACTTTTTTGACCCTAAGAGGCAGCATGAATTTCTTTCTTTGCAGTGATTCTATGGCAATTTGTTCACCTCTAATTTTTATAATCATAGTCTAGGGTTGCAGCTAAAAGCACTAACTCTGGAGCTAGACTGCTAGATGTATAATCTTGGGTATGCTATTTGATTGCTCTGGTACTCTGTACCTCAATTTTCACCAGTTAAATGCAGATTTAGGGTGGGTGGTTGTGAAGATTAAAACGCGTGTACCTTAGAAAGGTGCCAAATACATAGCAAGCCTACTACATATATATAATGTTACATACATAATGTCTTACTACAGATATTGCTATCATTATTCATACTCATCTTCCACTTCAGACCCCACATTCTCCCAAATCAGAGATCTCCAGTCCTAGTGAAGTACCCGTGTCTTTGTAAAATGTGGGTTGAACAAATAGGACACTAGACCAGCCCTAGGACTGCAGCTAAACGTGTGCCCTGAGGGCTGCGACTCTCTGATGCTGAAAGAGTTGTCTGGAACAAATGGTACGTACCCCTTGGACTGTCTGTGCAGAGTGAATCCAGAAGTTGACTGTGGCCCGTGGGGGTGATGACATTCACCTGGAGAGAGAACCATAAAACCCTGGCTTGAAGCAACCTGAAATCCGCATTTGATCCCTGATCAGGAAATGCTAATTTCCTCAGCTCAGGTAGAGCTGGCTGATTTGACTTGAGGACCCAAGGCTTAGCTTTTCTAATCTGCCTCCTGTCTTCTCTCAGCGAAGTGACATGTGGTTATATTCAGAGCTGAAGGGGTGTCTCTGCTTTAAGCAAGACCTTCGTGCTTCTTGGTCCTGGAGGGGGTCACAGAGAAGTTCAGAGCAAGACTGCTTTCTCTGATCATCCAGATATCTCTGCTTTGGCCCCATGCTGTGCCATTAGAAGCCTTCTGTGTGCACTTTCTTTCCCAGCACACCCAGGACATTTCTGCAGCTGTTAACGTTAGTGCTTACTCAAGACGGGGCAGCCAGAGGCTCTGCTGGCCCTCATTATGTGGTAGCACGGAGCTCACATCAGATTTGATCCTTGAGGGGGATGAGAAGAACATATACTCCTCACATACTCCTGGTCACATAGGAACAAAAGAGTGACAGAAAAGTAACCTTCAGAGTAGGGAAAAGACCCTAGCGCTGGCCAGCACTCTGCCTGTTCTCACCTATTCCCAGCCAGTGTCTGAGCCAAGACAGAGGGATCTGGCTTGTTCTCTAGGGCTGTTAGTGTGTTTCTGAGACCCTAAGACCTTTGAGAGTTTGTTCCCACTTATCCTCAAGGCTGCTGAGCAATTGTTCTAATCAATCAGATAAGCCCAACCAGGCAGTAATTGCCTCCCCATTCCTGACCCTCTAGCAGGGATTGGTGATTTCCCAGGTCCAGTTGTAAAATCTCACTTTTTTTTTTTTTTTTTTTTTGAGATGGAGTTTCGCTCTTGTTACCCAGGCTGGAGTGCAATGGCGCGATCTCGGCTCACTGCAACCTCCGCCTCCTGGGTTCAGGCAATTCTCCTGCCTCAGCCTCCTGAGTAGCTGGGATTACAGGCACGCGCCACCATGCCCAGCTAATTTTTAGTATTTTTAGTAGAGACGGGGTTTCACCATGTTGACCAGGATGGTCTCGATCTCTGGACCTCGTGATCCACCCGCCTCGGCCTCCCAAAGTGCTGGGATTACAGGCTTGAGCCACCGCGCCTGGCCACAAAATCTCACTTTTTTGCCTGACCAGGAGGAATCTGACTAATTGGAGAACAGAATTAGGCTATGGAGGGATTGTTCCTTGGAGGTCAGGAGACTCCCTAAATGCATAGCTTTCTTTGAACTTGTATGGTGCAAAAAAGCGCTAGGTCAGAGACAGGGGAACTGGGCTACTGCAAATGAGCTGTTGCAACTTCTTTGTGCCTCTGTTTCCTCAACTGGTCATTGGGGCAATACTCATAGGCCTCTTAGAAGGCTCAAAGGGAGTAACAGAGTATCCCGGGGGAATGAAAACGCCATTCAATTGTAAGGACACAGTGCTATTATTCTGATGAACACTGCAGCTGATACGCTGGACACTCCAGTAAGTTATGCCAGGAATTAATTCAGAGGCATCATTCACTTATATACCAGATTACCAGAGCGCTTCAAGATCACAATGTACTCTAGGTGAACGGTGCCCCCTGGAGTTGTGCTGGTGGTACTGGCAGTTACAGGAATGGTTTAACTCCCTTCAAGATTTCAGAAAGGCCCATGTCACGGCGTGGCTAGGCTTGGATGCAGCTGACACACAGAGGAGGGAGGAGCCAGAAGATAGAGCTACTCTCTACTAGATAGAACCAACGATGTTACCTTGACCCCTGCATTGAACATGGTGAATGCCGTGGTAGTCCTGACCATTGCATTGGTTACATAATTTCTCTCCAAATACCTAAAACAAAAGGACCGAGGTCAGATGTTGGAAAGAACCAATGGGGTGAAGGAAAGAGCAGAAACATTACCCACTTTCCTGAACCTTGGAGATCTTTAAGACTGAGAGACATCTCAGAGATGTCTTAAATATATACACTTACAGACGCAGTGTCTGGTGGCTGAGGGATTGATTAGTAAGTCCCAGTTAAGGCCAAAGACAGGGGACTGGGAGGTGGGTAGGTGTGAGGTAAGGGATGTGAAGGAAGGAAAGATAATACTTAACCTGCTTACAAGGGGTTTAAATAGCCACAGGTTGATCAAGATTATATTGGTAGGGAAGGGAAGCTGGGAAAGAACAAGGTCAGCAGGATATCAGAGGGGTCAGCACCACAGGGTCACCTCTACTTTAGCCTGATTCTCTGAGACCTGGGTCTTTCTCTACTTCTGAATTGTCTCAGGGGCCCTTAGGGGTCAGGAGTGTTTCTAAGTTCAGTTAGCTCAATCCCTGCTAGAGGGTCAGGAATGGGGAGGCAATTACTGCCTGGCTGGGCGTATCTGATTGGTTAGAAAAATTGCTCAGCAGCCTCAGGGATAAGTGGGAACCAGCTCCCAAAGGGTGTATCAGGTCTTAGGGTCTCAGAAACACACTAACAGCCCTAGAGAACAAGCCAGATCCCTCTGTTGGCTCAGCCACTGGCTGGGAATAGGTGAGAATAGGCAGAGCACTGGCCAGCACTGGGGTCCTTTTCTTACTCTGAGGGTGACTTTTCTGTCACTCTTTTGTTCCTAGCTGACTGGAAGTATGTAATACTTCTTCCCTTACCTCATGTGCCAGTTGCTCCAATGTCGCTGTCAGTGTCCAGCTTCCAAACATGTTAGGCAGTGGTGTCTGCTCCAGTCTGGAAGAGAAACAGAGTCCTCAAGACTTAGTGAACCCCAGCCAAAGATCAGTGGTCTGAAGAAGAGAAGGAGGGAGATAGAAGGAAGTTTCAACACTCCTGGCCAAGTGGTCTCCCATTCACTTCCCTACCACCTCCACCAACTCAACATTCTGAAGATCTCAAAACACCAGCAGGAGCTTTCCCTGTCTACTAAGTCCGCATTAGGGTCCGTCTTTCCTCCCTCTGCTGCTCTCCAGAATCCTGTGTGTCCACTCTCGTAGCACATCCCATAGTATGGCAGAGTTATCAGTCTCCTGACGGTTTGAATGAATATTAGCACTCCTTCCCACTTTGCTAAGAAAAGCCAGCCAGGGGTGAGCTCTACTGTTACAGATTCTGCTGTCCTCACGCATAGCCAGCAGCTCTTGTTTATTTTTGTCCTCCTGCCAGGACAGGTAGAGAATATCAACAGCTCTACCAGTCATTGCCAACTTCTGATTTCTTTTTTCTTTCTTTTTTTTTTTTTTTTTTTTTTTTTTTGTTGAGACAGAGTCTCGATCTATTGCCCAGGCTGGAGTACAGTGGCGCTATCTTGGCTCACTGCAACCTCTGCCTCCCAGGTTCAAGCAATTCTTCTGCCTCAGCCTCCTGACTAGCTGGGACTACAGGCAAATGCCACCATGCCTGGCTAATTTTTGTATTTTTGTATTTTTGTATTTTTTTTTTGAGATGGAGTTTTGCTCTTGTTGCCCAGGCTGGAGTGCAATGGCACAATCTGGGCTCACTGCAACCTCCACCTCCAGGGTTCAAGCAATTCTCCTGTCTCAGCCTCCTGAGTAGCTGGGATTATAGGCATGTGCCACCATGCCCGGCTAATTTTGTATTTTTAGTAGAGACATAGAGATGGGGTCTCACTATGTTGGCCAGGCTGGTCTCAAACTCCTGACCTCAGGTGATCCACCTGCCTCGGCCTCCCAAAGTGCTGGGATTACAGGCGTGAGCCACTGTGCCTGGCACCAGCTTGTGATTTGTAAATGTTTGGACTCTGGACTACTCTGGTTGCCAGACCTAGCTTCTGGCTGTTGGTCCTTGCTTTCCATATGGATATATTGATAGATCCTCTTCTTACTCCAGCCTTTGCAGGCTACCGGTGGCTCTGTCTCTCCTGTGGCCTCCCCCCACCCCACCCCCACCCACCTTGGAAGAATTTTCACTGCATTTGAGATGACTGCAGCCTGGTATCTGTGAGCCATGCTGAGATAACTCTTTGTTTACACCTCTTGTGTTAATCTCCCACATCTTTAATCTGTTCTAGGTTTCCCCTTCCGTTCTTCCACTAGTGTTTTTTGAAGCATAGCTTTGCAACCCAACTTTAGGGCAGGAAGCTTAGTGTCCTCAGATTTAACGTGGGAAAGTTCCAGGTCTTCCATCTCAAATCTGGCACAGGAGGAGGGCCAGGACTTGCTTACTGGCTGACAGCAGCTTCGAGGATGCCAATGCTCATCTCCTTTGGAGGACCTGAAGAGTGACCTAGAGTCATGTTTATTGCAGCATGAGGTTCATGGAACCCTTCTCTGAGTTTGCAATCCTGTAGAAGAGGATCAGAAACCACCCTCCTGACTTCTGTTGTCTCTGAATTCTCCCACAGGCCCACAGGTCCATCTATGCAATAATCTAGTGGGCAAGGAGGTAGCTTCATGCTGCTTTAAAAATTTTACGCTAGAGAAAAAACAGAAGGGGAAGCCTAGGAGAAGTTAAAGATCTGGGCAATTAATGCGAGAGGTGTAAACAAAGAACTGTCTCAGCATGGCTCACAGATACCAGGCTGGGGTCATCTCAAATGGGGAGAGAATTCCTTTCAAGGTCAGGGATGGGGTGCTTTACTTACGTGGTGAAGGGATTCTTGAGGTCGGGAATGAAACCATCAAAGATGAAGCTCCCCTCATCTACAATGAAGGCTAGCTGGACGCCCCTTGACTGTAGCAGGACTGAGATCTTCTGAGCCCCAACCCCTGAAGAAGCAGACATTGAACCCAGAGCTGCAGTCCTCAGCCAGAGACAGACCTCCAGACATAGCTAATGGGGACCCATTCAGCCTAGCTAGGGGCTCCAGAAACTTCCTACCTAGTCTCCTTCCTGGGGGACAGGATCCTAGGCAATCCTGCCTCACAGAATTCTGGAATGTCAGAGCTGGAAGAGCCCACCCTTCCTTGCATCACAAATGAAAAAACTTGAGCCAAAAGAGTGAACTGACTTGCTCAGGGTCTAAGTAAGTAGCATCACTGGAAATAAAACGTAGTCATTTGCTCTCCTTGGTCAGTTCTTTTTCCATCACACCTATGTTTCTCAGGGTATAGGTGATGGACCTCTGCCTCCCTCAGATATTATGAAGATATTATGAAAGAGTTTGTTGAAAATCCAGATGCATGGCACAGGGCCCAGGAATCTGAATTTTGGTCAAGCTCCTTAGATAGTCCTGGCATGCAGACACACAGAGAAGTTGGCAAACTACCATATTACAGAGACCCTGCAGCTGTGGGCAAACTGGACTAGGGTTAAGCACCCACTCCCCTCTCCCCACCAGAGGACAGAGATAAGTATAGGGTAAGGAGGCTCTACCTCCTCTTCATGGCCCAGGGAAATGAGAAAAGATCTTCGAGCGATGTCATTCCTGATCAGCAGGAGCTCCAAGGCCTGCAGGAATGCCTGGGGTTCAGAAGTACAATGGAAGAGCAGAAAGACGTTATTTAGGCGAGAGTACCAGGATATCAGTAACATTCAGTTGCCTGCATTAGGGCTGGTGGGATGAGGATCTGATAGATTCTCTTGAAGGAGAACAGACTCAAATGGTACAGGAGGCCGAATGTGGAGAAAGAGAACCCTTATCGCAGGGAGAAGAGCATGAACATATCAGTGTCAGGGCTGAAAGGGTCCCTGGGGACCATCTACTCCAATCCCTATTTATAGTTGAGAAATCAAGGCCCAGAGAAGGGAAGTGACAAACTGATGGCTGGAACCCAGGTTCTTTCTACCGTTATCTCCCTCCTCCCAGGGTCAGCCAAGCACCCCCATCCTGAATTGATCTTTAGGGCCCTAAGGCAGAGGGAACATTGCATCTCAGACCATCACAGAGTTCTTGTCATCCAGTGTGTCACCACCATCGATGAAGCCATCACGCTCCAACCCAGAGAACGGGGGCACCTCCCAGCCTTCTGCAGGGGCAGGCACCACATCAAAGTGAGCCAGCAGCAGACAGGGCTGCAAGCTGGGGTCCGAGCTTAGGACAGCGAACAGGTGGCTGTACTCTCCCACGACTTCATGCTGGATGAAGCTGGTGCTGAGCACTGTAGGAAAGACTAGAGGCAAAAAGGGCAGGGAGAGAAACCAGGATTAACAGTTTCCTTAGGTTTTTCTACCATGTTGTGCTTCCTGTCCCCCTTTTTTTTAAAAAAAAAAAAAATTCATCCTTCTTTAGGAAGCCTTCTAGGACAAAGCTAGTCTGATTCCTGATCTACCTGGACAATCTCTGAAATTTGTCTTCCCTATATTTCAATGTGCTATTAGTACGTAGTAACAGGCAAATCAAGTCTCACCATTAAGCCCAGGTGTGGTGGCTCATGCCTGCAATCCCAGCACTTTGGGAGGCTGAGATGGGCAGATCACCTGAAGTCAGGAGTTTGAGATCGACCTGGCCAACATAGCTAAACCCCATCTCTACTAAAAAGATAAAAATTAGCCAGGTGTGGTGGCACACACCTGTAATCCCAGCTACTAGGGAGGCTGAGACAGGAGAATCGCTTGAACCCGGGAGGCAGAGGTTGCAGTGAGCCTAGATTGTACTATTGCACTCCAGCCTGGGCGACAAGAGTGAAAGTCCATCTCAAAAAAAAAAGACTCACTATTAAGATGGTCAATATCTCAAGCTCAGGCTTGGTCTGACCTATAACATGCTATTGCAAGAACATTTTAAAGAGCTATGAAGATGAGGTATGTGTTAAATTGTAACTGTAGTAGGCTTCATTAACTAAATTATATTAAATTATTATGTTAAATTAGTAGGCCCCGTTAACCGAATTATATTTAAATATTATATTTTAAAATTCAGAGACATTTTTCTTTTTTAAAAATAATACATCTAGTGTATGTGCTATGTGAACATAAGATTATTCTTTTTAACACAAGATCATACTTCTGCATGCAGGTGTAGATGTTCCTAGGGTCAATTATTCAAGTGACTTTAGCTGCATAGGAGAAATAAATTTTCTCTCTCTCTGGCTTTGTTGGAAGAATTCACATATACTTCTGTGGTTACCCAAAAACTGAAGAAGAATATGGTTTTATCTTGTTACCTAGCTTATCTACTTTACTGTCACTAGACATTTATTTTATTGTTTTGAGGTAGAGTCTATCTCCGTCACCAGGCTGGAGTGCAGTGGCGTGATCTCAGCTCACTCCAACCTCCACCACCTGGGTTCACGTGATTCTCCTGCCTCAGCCTCCCAAGTAGCTGAGACTACAGGTGTGCACCACCATGCCCAGCTAATTTTTGTATTTTTAGTAGAGATGGTGTTTCATCATGGTGGCCAGGAGATCTTGATCTCTTGACCATGTGATCTGCCTGCTTTGGCCTCCAAAGGGCTGAGATTACAGGCATGAGCCACCGCGCCCAGCGTATTTTCCTATATTTATCTCCTATTTAATAAAGACTTCCAGCCTTTTCAGGCTGGCCTTAGCTTGGCTACTGGGCACTAATCCCTGAGTCATTCATTTTTGTTTTTGCTTTCCTTTCTGTTTTTTCAGAGACAGGGACTTGCTCTCTCACTTATGCTGGAGCACAGTGGCACATTCATATAGTCCCCTGTAGCCTTGAACTCCTGGACTCAAGCGATTCTCCCACCTCAGCCTCCTGTAACTAGGACTACAGGTGCTTGCCACCATGCATGGCTAATCCCAGAGACATTTGTTCCAGGGTGTTAGAGAGGGGGTTACTTGCTGCTCCTAGGCCAGCTTCTCCCACCTCCGATAACTTTGGAGGGGCTGTTTTTAATTAGATTTAGGAATGTTGGTCGGGTGCAGTGGCTCAAGCCTGTAATCCCAGCACTTTGGGAGGCTGAGGCGGGTGGATCACGAGGTCGAGAGATCGAGACCATCCTGGTCAACATGGTGAAACCCCGTCTCTACTAAAAATACAAAAAATTAGCTGGGCATGGTGGCGCGTGCCTGTAATCCCAGCTACTTAGGAGGCTGAGGCAGGAGAATTGCCTGAGCCCAGGAGGCGGAGGTTGCGGTGAGCCGAGATCGCGCCATTGCACTCCAGCCTGGGTAACAAGAGCGAAACTCCGTCTCAAAAAAAAAAAAGATTTAGGAATGTAATCTCATTACTCTTTATGAGATTTTAATAAGGGGAGGGAGGAGTTCCAAGAATCCTTTTTTCCTCTGACCCATCCTTCTATAGCTCTGTACTCCGTGGGTGGTAGGGATGAGGGAAAGGGACAGATGTTATAGCTCAAAGTTGTTGACTGCCTAGAGGCCTAGAAATGTGTTAGTAAGGAATCTGGAGTAGGTCTGAGCAGGTGGAGTGTATGTGTACAGGTGTGTGGGGGTGCGTAAGGAGGTAGGGGTAGGAGGAACATGGAGCATAGGTCTGGGCAGTTCCACAGGTAAAAGGAAATCCTAGTTCTACCTTTTGATGATTTCCTATTTATTGAATGACACATATGTAGGGAAAAGATTGAGAGAGTTTATACTCTAACACAATGGCTTGATGAACTCTTGATCTTTGCCCTATATATGTGGCTTAGTTTTTCCAAGAGCTAATCTACAGTCTGTATGCTGCCCATGGAAATTAGACTAACCTCTGAGAAGTCACAAAATAAACTTCTTTATTACTTTGTAAAAGAACTGTATCTCTATTGTTATTTCTACCACCCACGCCTTGCTCCTGATTTGCAGCTGACCTTTGTAAATGTATTCTCCAAACTCAGCCAGGGCAGTACTATTGGATTCCTCAGGGCCAAAAGACACTGTTGGAATCTGAACGGCACCTGTCAGAGTCAAATAATCAGAGATGAAAGATTAAAAATAAATTAATCATTGTTTTTTTCTACAGTCCTCTGTGCATGAAAATCTCTTTTGTATTCATTATCGTATTGCAGAGGCAAAACACTAATGTGAGGTAGGCACTATTTTTTCCCCTAATTCGAAGATGAAGGAAAAAGCTTAGAGAGGTTAGGTGAGCTGCCCAAGCAACACGTAGACTAGAGATTTAAACCCATGTCTTCTGGGTTTATTTAGGCCGATGTGGTTCTTAAAGACAAATACGGTCTAAGATTAGGGGGAAATGGATTTTGGACCCTGGTCTTGAGGGGAAGCTACTATAAATTTCTTCCTAAGGCCTCACTCTGCCTCTGAAATCACCACTTCTTCTGATGAATCCAAGCTTAATCATTCTCAAGGCACCCACTGTCCTGGGTCCCTACATCAATGAGGCTTGTGTGTTTTTGTGTGTAAAGGATTATTCCTCATGCAGAGTCTCACTAGTCTCTCAACCAAGGCCAGCTTTTTGGGCATGTAATGCCTGGGAAGGGGTGGATTTAAAGAGTCAAGTTCCCCCAAACAACTTCCTCAGTCCTAAAACAATCTCATCCTCCCTACTCGGTTGTCTCAGATCCTGAACCTTCTTCGCTAGGCTCATCCCTTTGAGTCTTTCAGGCTTTAAAGAGTTCCATGATCAAAGACAAACAGCACTGGGAGGGAAAGCATGAGTCACGAGAATACTGAATTAGACCACTCTCCAAGAAGAACACATGAGAATAAATTCACCTGAGGCAGCTTAACATCCAGGAAGGGTCTCTGAAAGACAAACTCCATCAGTTTTGCTAAGGATCAACACCGCAACAGCACAGCCCACCAAATAGATGGGGAAGATGAGGTTCAGAAAGATTCAAGTGCCTACTCAAGGGCAGACCCAAGATCTGAGCTCAGGTGTTCTGTTCCCTGCTCAGAGTTCTAAGCTGTGTTGCTATGAGGTCCCTATTCTAGGTTCTTACGTAGCTTTTGTTTTCTTCTGTGCAGAGACTTTGAGTGGCTGCCTAATGTCTTTTAGAGGACTATTTATACTACGCTTTGGGAAAGCCCCGCTCCGCCTCCCAGGCCTGTCACTCTAGCATATACACAATCTATAACCAACCATTGAAGTTAGCTTTTGGTCCCAGCATCTGCCTATGTTTATGCAGGCGGTTTAGCTTAATCCATTACTTAATGAAAGGCAAAAGACTGGAGCTAAGCTGAATGGTAAAGGAGGATTTCAGCCCATCGGATCTAGCACTCAACAGAAACTTTCCTGGAAAATGCCGATTCAGAAGGGGAATGAGTTTTTGGTCTGGATTGGAGGTCTGCGGGAGACATGTTCTTCAATTATGATTGACAATTAGGAAGATCCCACACCCCAGGAACACTCCACTCCCTTTCTTTAGTGCCATCTGATCCCAGCGAGTCCAACAGGCATTAGATGCTGTCACCCAGTGCCCATTCTTTGCCGTGGGGCCCTGGGGAAGATCATTTAGCTGACCTAGGCCTCAATTTCTCGCCTCTGTAGATAACACTAAGATCATTTAGTCTTATTTTACCATACCGCAGTAATTTAACAGGCATGCAAACTTTCACGAGTTAAAAGTGCTCTACAAATGACAGCTGGTGTAATACTCCAGGCAAGCAGGGGAGAGAGGGGACGGTGGTCACGCTAAGAGGGGTGAAACCGGAGCTTCCAGGTTAGGCAGGGCACTCCAGAGTTTCAGGAGCCAGGTATGGGGAAGTGTGGCCTCCCCAAGCTTGGGCACACGTGCTGGGAAGGGTGTCGGGGTGCGTGGCGGGGCTCCAGCTGCAGTAGCGGACCCTTTGAGGTGGAAGCGGGGAGTCACGGGTTGACCTGGGGAGGGTGAGACGCACATCTGAGCATAGGTGGGGCGAAAGGGAGCCGGGTTCACCTTTCAGCGTCTCTTTCATCGCGACGCGCTCCTCTTTGCTGAACTGAGAAGGGATTCGCGACGCCCTCTGATGCTCCTGGCTCCTCAGGCCCATTGATCTGCAGTCGGTGGCGAAAAGTAGGAGCAGCACAGCCGCCAGGGCCACCACGCAAACATGCTTCTGAGCCATGCTTCTCTCGAGCTCCTGCTGCCGGGCTGCCGCTGGAGTTCTGACCTGAAACCACGGACTTGCCCTTTTGGCCCGGGCTCTGCTCTAATTCCCTCTAGCAGTCATCCTTAGATCTGGCCAATCATCGCTTTGCTGGGACTGCGGAACAACCAATCGACGGAATGGTCCCGCCCCAGCCCCCTAAGGCCTGTCGGGGGTTGTGGTTTTTCGTGCTGTGGCGAGCAGATGCAGAGCAGAGGTGAGGTCGGGCTACAGGTTAGAGTCAGGTCTGGTCCGCACTTGATCTCTTGTGAGACACCCATAAATCCCTTCCCGTATTACAACATATCAAATAAAGGGGGAAAAGCAAAATGCACGAAGCTTGTAAGACCGTACTCCGCTCCTCGTTTTTCCGAAGTTTAGGACTTGACTACCATTCCCTAGATCCTGGGGGGCAGTTCTCTAGGTTACCAGCTTGATTTCATCTGAAATTGGAACAAATTAACTCTGTTTATAGATACTACTTTGAAGTATCAACTCAGAGGGTTGGCTCCTAGAAATTTAGAAATTTTGTTGAAATTTCTGGATATTGGGATAGTATGTGATTTTTTTTTCTTTATACGTTTCTGAATGTTCCAAATATTTCACATATTTCAAATATTTCTAATTTGAAATTATTCTAAAGTGCTTTGAATATTAATGCTAACACTACATTTTTTGCAACTCCAGGCAAGTACAGTAAGACAAGGATTTTTAGAAAGATTACTATAAAATATTTAAGAGAATTTTGATGTACTAATGATTTTGATGTATTCAGCAAACTGAAATTTTAGTTATTCAGAGTGGAGGATAATTCTTGAAAAAAAGAAAACCTGCCTTATGTCACAGAAATATAAAATTAGTTTTCTTGAAGTCAGAAGAAACCATTCCTTCCAGATTTCCTGATGCAATTTTATCTGGCACCACTCTCAAATTTTAGAATTGTCAAGAAAAATTCAGTAAGTGCTATACAGCCAGTAAGGCCATATTGCTACCTGTGACTAAAGCTACAGATTCACACTCCTGGTGTTTGCGTAGGCGAAGAGTGCTTTGCTCTAACCATTCCACTAATCCTGCTTAAACAAACAAACAAACAAACAAAAATCTCCAGCCATGTAGTTACTTTTAATAGCAACTTTAAAACAATATCATGAAATACGTCACATATATATAACGATATAAAGAATAACATGATGAACATTTCTGGATTCACCACCTAGTTTAAGATCTAGAATGTTAAAAATAGAGTCGAGGAGAATGCTGGGAAGATGGCCGCCTAAGAACAGCTCAGGACTTCAGCTCCCAGTGAAAGTGCAGAGGGTGAGTGAACGCCGCATTTACAGACGAACTGTTATTGCCCACAGACCAGGAGATACCCAGGCAGAGGGGTCGCCAGCGTCGCAGTCCCAGCCGGTGCGGCTGTTTTGGCCCCCGCGGGGCTGATTCCGCCCGCGCGGCTGCTGTGACCACTCCCTGTTGCTGCGGTTCTCCATACAAAAACCACTGGTCTGGGAGCCCTCTTAGCTGGCGAGCAGAGCCCTGAGACGGCAGAGTGGGCCATTCATCTGAAATAGCGAGTCAGGCCAGGAGATTCCTAGGCAGAAAATCCGCCAGGAGCCGGCGCCGCAGTCCGAGCCGACTCCGTGAGTCGCAGCACGGGAGATCCTGGCGCCTTTTCAACAAGCGACCGGAACTCGGGGTCGTTCAACTTAAAAGAAAAGACTCGGAGTCAGGGAGCCAGGTGATCAGGCTCGGTTGGTCCCAGCCTTCCACCCCCAACAACAACGAAAACAAAAACAGTAATTGGAAACCCTCTGGGTTGAGCCCTTCAAACCAAGCACAGCTGAACCTGGACGGCCCGGCTCGGTGGGGGAGGGGCTTCCACCATTACTGAGACTCTCCACCGCTACGGAGGTAGGCCCCCGTTGCCGAGGCAACCCGCCATTGCCGAGGCAACCTCCCACAACAGAGAGAGTCCGCCATAACAGAGGCGGGGCCACCGTTGCCGAGACAGTTCTAACTACTCCCATATAAAAAGGACTACAGGGAAGAGCTCAGGGCAGCTGGGCGGAGCCCACAGCAGCTCAGCAAAGCCCCTGCGGGCAGGCAGTGGCTAGGCGTGCTGCTAGCTGGGCGGGTCAGACCTGAAAGAAAAATCAAAAAAAGGCAGTAGTGCAACGGAAACTCATAAAGCTCCAACTCCCTGGGACAGAGACAGACAACAGGTGGATAAACCCACAAAAATGGGAAGAAACCAGCATAAAAAGGATGAAAACTCCCGAAACCAGAACACCTCTCCTCCTAAAAGGGATCACAACTCCTCACCAGCAAGGGAACCAGACTGGATGGAGAAGGAGAGTGATGAAATGACAGAATCAGACTTCAGAAGGTGGGTAGTTAGAAACTACAGCGAGCTAAAAGAACATGTTCTAACCGCACGCAAAGAAAATAGGAACCTTGAAAAAAGATTGGACGAACTGCTGACGAGAATGGACAGCATAGAGAGGAGTATAAGTGAATTGATGGAGCTGAAAAACGCAACGCGAGAACTTCGTGAAGCATGCACAAGCTTCAACAGCCGAATTGACCAAGCAGAAGAAAGGATATCAGAGGTCGAAGATCAACTCAATGAAATAAAAAGAGAAGGCAAGAACAGAGAAAAAAGCGCAAAAAGGAATGAACAAAATCTTCAAGAAATGTGGGACTATGTGAAAAGACCTAATCTACGTCTGATAGGTGTACCTGAATGTGATGAAGAGAATGAATCCAAGCTGGAAAATACTCTTCAGGATATTATCCGGGAAAACTTCCCCAACCTAGCAAGGCAGACCAATATTCAAATCCAGGAAATACAGAGAACACCACAAAGATATTCCGCAAGAAGAGCAACCCCAAGGCACATAATCGTCAGATTCACCAAGGTTGAAATGAAAGAGAAAATGCTAAGGGCAGCCAGAGAGAAAGGTCGGGTTACCCACAAAGGGAAGCCCGTTAGACTCACAGCAGATCTCTCAGCAGAAACCCTACAAGCCAGAAGAGATTGGGGGCCAATATTCAACATCCTTAAAGAAAAGAACTTTCAACCCAGAATCTCCTATCCAGCCAAACTAAGCTTCATAAGCGAAGGAAAAATAAAATCCTTTGTGAACAAGCAAGCGCTCAGAGATTTCATCACCACCAAACCTGCTCTACAAGAACTCCTGAAAGAGGCTCTACACTTATAAAGGAACAACCAGTACCAGGCACTCCAAAAACACACCAAATGGTAAAAGAGCATCGACACAATCAAGAATCTGCATCAACTAACCAACAAAACAGCCAGGTAGCATCAAAATGACAGTATCAAAATCACACATAACAATACTATCCCTAAATGTCAATGGACTAAATGCCCCAATCAAAAGACACAGACTGGCAAACTGGATAAAAAGCCAAAACCCATCAGTGTGCTGTATCCAGGAAACCCATCTTACATGCAAGGATACACAAAGGCTCAAAATAAAGGGATGGAGGAAGATCTACCAAGCAAATGGAGAGCAAAAAAAGGCAGGAGTTGCAACTCTCATCTCTGATAAAATAGACTTTAAAGCAACAAAGATCAAAAGAGACAAAGAAGGACATTACATAATGGTAAAAGGATCACTGCAACAAGAAGAGCTAACGATCCTAAATATATACGCACCCAATACAGGAGCACCCAGATACATAAGGCAAGTTCTCAATGACCTACAAAGAGACTTAGACTCCCACACAATAATAGTGGGAGACTTTAACACCCCACTGTCAATATTAGACAGATCATCCAGACAGAAAATTAACAAGGATATCCAGGACCTGAACTCAGACCTGGAACAAGCAAACCTAATAGACATTTACAGAACTCTCCACCCCAAATCCACAGAATATACATTCTTCTCAGCACCACATCACACCTACTCTAAAATTGACCACATAATTGGCAGTAAATCACTCCTCAGCAAATGCAAAAGAACAGAAATCATAACAAACAGTCTCTCAGACCACAGTGCAATCGAGTTAGAACTCAGAATGCAGAAACTAAGAATCACACAGCTTCATGGAAACTGAACAACTTGCTCTTGAATGTTGACTGGATAAACAATGAAATGAAGGCAGAAATAAAGATGTTCTTAGAAACCAATGAGAACGAAGACACAACATACCAGAATCTCTGGGACACATTTAAAGCAGTCTCTAGAGGAAAATATATAGCAATGAGTGCCCACATGAGAAGAAAGGAGAGGTCGAAAATTGACACCCTATCATCAAAATTGAAAGAGCTAGAGGAGCAAGATCAAAAAAACTCAAAACCTAGCAGAAGACAGGAAATATCTAAGATCAGAGCAGAACTGAAGGAAATAGAGACACAAAAAACTCTTCAAAAAATCAATAAATCCAGGAGCTGGTTTTTTGAAAAGATCAACAAAATAGACAGACCACTAGCCAGATTAATAAAAAAGAAAAGAGAGAATAACCAAATTGATGCAATAAAAAACGATAAAGGGGATATCACCACAGATTCCACAGAAATCCAAACCATCATCAGAGATTATTACAAACAACTCTATGCACATAAATTAGTAAACCTGGAAGAAATGGATAAATTCCTGGACACCTGCACCCTCCCAAGCCTAAACCTGGAAGAAGCCGAAACCCTGAATAGACCAATAACATGGTCTGAAGTCGAGGCAGCAATAAAGAGCCTACCACCCAAAAAAAGCCCAGGTCCAGATGGGTTCACAGCGGAATTCTACCAGACATACAAAGAGGAGCTGATACCATTCCTTCTGAAACTATTCCAGACAATCCAAAAAGAGGGAATCCTTCCCAAATCATTTTACGAGACAAACATCATCCTGATACCAAAACCCGGCAGAGACTCAACAAGAAAAGAAAATTTCAGGCCAATATCCATGATGAACATAGATGCAAAAATCTTCAATAAAATACTGGCAAACCGATTGCAACAGCATATCAAAAAGC